CTGCTCTCTGAAAATATATTACTGAAGTTTCTGGTAAAGGATCCTCAAAACGCCCAAAATCAAGGTGGAAGACAAAAAAGCTGTAGGAGCCAAGGGCTCGAAGGTCATAGGGAAGGAATAAGATTTATGTACTTCTATCATCCCTCTTGTCTCCTTTATGCACCTCAGGGAGATCAAACAAAGACCAAACCTTTGGACAAATATTCTAAAGAGGAAAAATCTTGTAAATCAAGGATTCTGAGTTTCCAAATAACTTCTCTGGGCAGAGAGTTTTGAAATGTTGTCAATTACCACTTATTTAATGCAGAGATAAATGTTTCTAGCAGCCATCTTCCAAATTTCCTACACTTAAAATTTAGCACTTGTCTTTGGCAATCCCCCAGTCAACAGCTTTACGGTGCACATGTCTTCTGTTGTACTTGGTTTTTCAACTACAGGCTAGAGATGGTGATCTTATGTGTCTATGTATGCATTATCTATTTAACTATTTATTTATCTAACTATTTATCTATCTATCTTTCTATCTATCTATCTATCTATCTATCTATCTATCTATCTATCTATCTGTCTATCATCTATCATTCATTCCTGTTATTGGCTGTGATGCAGCAGCTAAGGCACTCAGGAGACTGTCGAGAAATAAAAGAGAAGGTGGGCCCAGTCCAAGGTCTCACCAACAGTGACAGAACCTGGTGTTCATGGTGCAGGCGCCCCCAGTAGCGTTATACCCGTGCTCCTGGACTGTCCCAAACTTTCAATGCCAAGGCCAGGGTGCTGCACCGGCACTCCATAATGGAGTGAGAGTGCATGTGGCAGGAAGAGGGAGGTATGATGAAGATGATGAAACAGATAAAGGAAGGTCAAGAAAGAAGGAAGAACAAGGAGATGGAAAACAGAATGTCATTAGAGGAGGCCATGCTGATGGTGCAGGAGAAGCTTTTGTTCCCACAGGAAAAGCAGCAGCATCTTTCCCAGCAACATAGAAAAGTTTTGCATGAGGAGAAAAAATGGAGTGAATGGATCACTCTAACATCTGCTGCAAACTAGCAGAGCCTGCCTATTAGCACAGAAGCTCACTTTCTCAGCATCCAGGGGACCCTGGAGGACACAAACAGCCAGGCACCCTCATGGCAGCTGGCAGAGTCAAACAGATGTTCAGACCTCAAGCACTTACAACCTGGCAATCTGTGGGCTCAGCAGCTGCTTTCCCAGGGACCCAAAGAGTGGGCAATTTGGAAGCAGGTCAGACAGCTCCTATGGGACATCTCGGCCCCCACCTGACTGTGGGTCTACGCAGCCAGCCTCTGGTCCTAGTCAGTAGCCTAAAGGCTTTCAGGGTTTCCTGCAGTGCAGCACCTGTCTCAGCCACAGCCCTGCACAGTGTGTCGCCACCTTTAGCCCACCTTCACTGGGTTCCTCCGCGTTGGCAGTGCCCTGTCTTTACAAAAGCAGATGGAATTGCTAACTGGCACATGACCGCTCTAGCTCATCTCTCTGTGCTCCATGCACCTCACAAGGTCTGCATCCAGCCTCTGGACCCCTTGCCTTTGCCCAGCTTCCCAGGCAGATGCAACCAGCAGGAAAGTCAGGCCCTACAGCTACAAACCAACCTGGCCCTGGGCTTCCCTTCATCCAGCGCAGCTGGAACTCGTGATTCTATGATGAGTGGCCCTCAGATTACATCTTTATATTCACCCCTGCCCTCTCACTATGAGTGAGGAATCCCTCTGTGTCCCAATCCCAGGCCAGTAACATCTATCTGTTCCGGGGAGGATTTTTTTTAAAGCATTATTTTACACACACACACACACACATACACACACTTTATGCCTATTTCTAGATCTCTATATTGTTGTAATGCCTGAGTTTGAGTCTTGCTGATACTCTTCCACCCTGCTTCCACAATTTGTTAGCCATGTGACCTTGAACAAGTTACTTAACTTTCCTAAGTTCCAGTTTTCTCTTCTAAAAATATAACAATAGTATCAATGGCACAGAACTGATTTGACTTTTATTATATTTTTTCTTATTAATAGAATACTATTTAAAATTTCAGGTTTACAGAAAAATCAAACAGGAAGTACAGAGAGTTCCCATACACTCCCTTCTCCTCACCTCTCCGTTTCCCCCATTATTAGCATCTTGCATTGGTATGGTACATCTTATATAATTGATGAACCAACACTGAAACATTATTATTAATCAAAGCCCACAGCTGACATTAAGAGTGCTCTTTTTGTGTTGTACACGTCTATGGGTTTTGCCAAATGCGTGGTGTCATGTACCACTCTTATAGTATCATACAGAATAGTTTCACTGCCCTAAAAAGTCTCTGCGTTTTACCTATTTATCTCCTGGGGGAGGAAAAAAAAATCCTGATAAGTATACATTTTCAGAAGGAAGTGCTTATTTGTAAGAAGGGGGGGGCATTTTTTGTTGTTGTTTATTTATTCCACAGATCTTCAAGATGCATATAGCACAGTACTGAAAGGTGCTGGTTTTGGAGTCAGGCTGGGTGGGGGAAAATACTTCCCCACTTACTTAGCTGTTTTACCTGAGCCTTACTTTCCTAAAATGAAAATTGGGAAGAGTAAACATATTTAACTCAAATGGTATTAAACAGAAGCTCTTAGCCTGGCATAGAGTTAGCATAATAAGTAGAAGACACTGGTGGTGTTTTTCTCAACTGTTGATAGGTACCCAATGTAGAAAAGAAAAATACCAATATAGTTCTTGATTTTAAGAAACTTACAATTTAAAGAGGTAAACCGTCACTAAATTAGAGACCAGTTTAAAAGCAGTGAACAACACTTCCTTCTTCCACATGATAACTACATTGATCTAGGAGACGTAGGAGAAGAAGCTCACTTGAGAGGAAGAAGTGAAAATGATTGAGTCAGAACTAGAATGGTCATAGCTGAGAATGGAATGACACAGAACCTTATAGCAAAGAAAGAAAAGGATTAAAGGATTTCACAGCTTCTTTTTCTTTTTCACTTTTTTTAATGGACTTGATTGGGACAAGTAAATTTTTACTTTAGTTTGTTTTGTTTACAGAAAAAAAGGAAAAGGTCATTGGAGACTTCTTCAGTGTACTCAACAAGGAAAGCAAAAAAGCAAAAAAACAAGAAAAGCAGTTTTACATTTACAGAGGTTTCAGGTACAATGATCAACACATTCCGAGAGAAATACAGCCAGTGGTTTTTCCATGAATTTTTTATGCTTGAATGTAGGAATCAATTGTGACTTCTCCTTTACTTTGTATTCAGATATAAGATGGGGGAGACCAGTAAATCACAGGGAAATTCACTCTGATAAGCCTCACATTTAGACTTTGTGTATATGAACCTTTGAAATGATACAGATTATAGAATTGCTGGTATAGTTAGTACCTGGAGACAAAAACATTTTCAGTATCTTTCCAGTTCACCTCGATTTTAGCACAACTTCAAAAATTCTTCATGAAGCTAAAATCCATTGATCCTACAATCTCTCACTGGCCCTTGCTCCTTCCAAGACTCCCCTCCTCCCTGCCCAGTTTGAATTCCAAGGTCAATCATTATAATCCTTTCTTCAAATTCCCTAAACACCCTCAACTCCCTAAACTCTCTCTCAACTGCTTATCTTTTCTTGGCAAAATAACCATCCTGGTTAAATCCAATTCTCTGTCTGCTTGGAGCCTGAATCGAGACAAACAAATGGGGCTAAAGAACATGCACACACAACACAACTTGACTAAACTTGAGAGGGGCGTCTTCCTGACTCTAGGTTCCTGGTCTTCCATTTTCTTAGAGCATTTATTTTAGAAAGCTTGCAGCTGTAAATGCTTAATCTGACTCTTTAAGATGCAAAGCTTCTTCCAGTCCTTGCCTGTTTTACTGCTCAGGAATGTCTTTCTCAAAGGCCAGCAATTACTCTTTAGAAATGTAATCATAGAAGCAGATAGGGCCCCTATCTCCCAGTCTCTGCCGCAGGGTAGGAGCCTTACTTCCAGAAGGGACAATTAGCAAACACAGGTGACCTTGTCACACTGCTCAATGCCCTCTCTATGGGAGTACTTGTCCACTAGCTCACCTCAGCACTGAAAAATCTTCCTAATCTTCCTTCCCACCTGTTCCAGCAGAATTGAGTTTTATCTCTCCCATGCTACGAGCTTTTACTAAACTCTCCCTGGACTGTTTAGCTTAGATTTGGGATTGCTAACATAACGTGGGGCCTCAATGATGCCTGCCAGCCAGGATGATGCCGGCCAACCAGACTATTTTCCAAGTCCATTCACTCTTTCGGTTTTTTCTCATACCACCTCCCCTGTCCTCAAACCTCTCATACCTCAACCCAATCCTCATACTCAATGATGACCATACTATCTATATTAAGAAAACAGAAGCCGCCAGACAGGTTTTCTATGGAAAACCAGCCCTCCAAGCACCCACTTGCGTGCGTGCTCAGGTACTCTGCCTTCCCTGTGTCTACAGGGGCTCCAGAGACCTTATCCTCAAGATGCAGCAGCGCAAGCCTCCTCTGTCCCCTGCTTCAGCCTTTTTTGTGCTTTGTAAGTTCAGACAAAGAGAAGTAAAACTGACACTTTCACAGTTAGGCATATTATGATGTGTGTAAAATATACTCATGTGCTAATAAAATGTATACTCAACTGCTAATTCCTGTTGTAAATTTGCTAACCTGAAGCTTCAGAGCGGCAATTATTACGCTTTTGCTTTACGATGACTGAAATGAGATAGAAATATGCTATCTCCTGTTCTTGGAAGTCAAAGTGACATTATATTTGCTACAATAAAGTTTTTTCCCTCTAGAGTTGATTTGCACATTTTTGACTATGTATAAATGTCAGACGTGCTGAGCTACTTTTTATTGAAGCCAAATATAAAAGCATCTCAGAGCTTTAAAATATTTAAAGGTCTTCCTGCAGTTTGTAACTGATCATTGCACATCTCTGAAGGGCTAGGTCCCATTGGAAAATTTCAAGTATTAAAAACATTTACCTCTTCAAGGACGTCAGCAAGCTTACTGAGGATCTCTTCAGGAAGGCTCTGGAATGTTGGAACACTGAAAAACAGAACAGATGATTCTGAAGGAATGAACAGCAACTTACTTTCCTTTAAAAAAAAAAAAGCAGCAGTATGTCTGAATGAAAATGCAAAAAGTCTTCATGATGACAGAGACTCTGTAGATGTAGGTCAAAGCACTAGGTTAAGCACGATTTGATAACTAACAAGGAAACGGTATGTTTTACAACTATGAGAAAGAACCTGGGGTTTAGACAGAACCAAGTATAAATCGCACTTGTATTTATCTGTGTGACCTTAAATGCCTCAGCTCTAATAGGGAAAAACGTTCTCTCCCTTAGAAGTCTGCTGTCACCAGATTCCTTTCAGTTCCATCTCCCTCCCCAGGTCCCCTATCTGTCCGCACCCACACACCCCACACATACTTGTCTAGAGGCCAACTCCTACTCATTCTTTAGAACACAGCTGGATTGATGACACATTCAGACTTGCAAGCATTCATTCATCAATGTTGGCAGCTTCCTACTCTTCTAACCCCTCCCCAGCTAGATTAGGTCCTCCTATTATAAAGTCTTTTATCCCTTCCTACAACTGTATTAGATAATCAGACATTTGCTACTGGGTATCTTCTCTGATCAAACTGAAACACAACAAAAACAGAAATAGTATCTGTCTTGTTCAACACCTGTGTTTTTTAGTGACATACAAATAACAGCCCAATAGCATGTGTTGAACAAAGACAGGAAAACATAGATGTGGGAATGCTTCCTAGTACAGTTACAAGGATCAAACCAGACAGAATGGAGAAAGGAGCCAGACTCATAGTAGACACTGAAAAAAATGATAATTCTCTTCCTTTCACCCTCTTCTCTTATTTTCCTCATTGACCAGTAAAAAATAAATAAATAAACAAATAATACAAAACATTGAATGATATCAAATACACAAACCAACAAAACTTCTTTTACATATGAAATAGTAATGACTTAAAAAAAAATTCTTCAATATACAATTCTTAAAACTTCAAGGGAAAATCTAACTGGGATGTGGAACTAAATTCTCATTTAATCATACCTTAATGCTTACATAAGGAAAAATCTATACATTTGCATGTATGATTTTTAACTTTCAGAATAACTCTGGTTTGATTAGAACAACACAGTGAAAGGAACCATAACATAGTGTTTGGATACAAGCATGAAAGTTTCACTGTGGATTTTCCTGTCACTCTCACTCCCATTGCTTAGTGTAAAGCCTATTGATAAAATCCCAAGGTTTTATGCAGCGGTGTAACAATTCACACAGAACCATCTGTTCGACCAGATTTACAGCTGTGGTCTGAGCCATGTGGGTTTTGATCTCCATAAGGTAATGTATTTCAGCAGCTGGATGGAACATACCACAGAAAGAAACAGAGGAAGATAAGAGGGAGCGCTTTCCAGGAGGTATGTAGGCTGAAAAACCGAGCCCTTCCTTGTTCTTTTAATGAGCTATGTATTTCAGTTTCTTTTAAGATGGAAGAATAATTAGAATGTTCCTATCCCAGTGGGGATTTATGGAAAACACAAACTACAACTGAGGTCTTCTCACTTTATTATATTTGGCTTCACTCTTTAGATAAACCTATTACTTCTCCGCTTTGTCTACATCAAGCCATACTAGAATACTTTCATTTTCATGAGAGTGCTTATCCATAAGAAAAAAATTAATATTTGCTTGACCACATAACACTAAATAACAATAAGACATTAAGTTTTAGAAGGGCATTTTAAATAAATTATCTTTCTTAATTTTACTTTTTAATTTTTTTATTTTCAGCTTTATTGAGGTGTAATTGACAAAAAATTGTCAGATATTTAAACTGCACGCTGTGGTGGTTTTGATGTAAGTTGTGAAAAAAGTCTCCCATCCAGTTAATCTAGTGAATGAAAACATCTGTCACCTCACATATTTATTTTTGTGTGTGTGAGAACATTCAAGTTCTATTCTCTTAGCATATTTCAATTACAGAGTACAATGTTATCAACTATAGCCACTACGTTATACATTAAATTCTCAGAGCTTATTCATTTATAGCTGAAAGTTTGTACCCTTTTACCAGCCTCTCTCTTTCTGTTTCCCCTACCCCTCAGCTTGTGGCAACTGATTTTCTGCTCTAGGAGTTTAACTTGTTATTTACACTCCATGTATAAGTAATGACATGAATCATTTCTTTCTGTTTTACTTCACTTAGCTTAATGCCCTCATGGTCCATTCATGCTGTCACAAACAGCAGGTTTCCATCTTTCTCAGGCCTGAACAACATTCAATTGTGCGTATATATACATATCACAATGTGTTTTTTTTTATTCTCACCCAAGAATCAACAATCAATGATGCTTATTGATTTCACAGAAAGGGGAATGGAGGGAGAGAGAAAGAAGAAGTTAAACACTGATGTTAGAGAGAAACATTGGTTGGTTGCCTCTTGGAGGTGCCCCAGCCATGACTGAACCCGCAACCTAGGCATGTGCCCTGACCAGGAATCAAACACAATCTTTTGGTTTATAGACAAATGCTCCAACCAAGCGAGCCACACCAGCCAGGGCTATAGAGCACTGTTAGGTAGAAGTTCAGGAGAAGGAGGAGGGGTGGGAGGAAGTCCATAGTACTTGCAGAAAAAGCTCATAAATAACTTTGATTATCTGTCTCTGGCCACGTATCTGTATTTCACAGGACAGCAAGAGGTGGTCTGGAACAAGATAAAAATCTGAGTTAACAGACCTCCACCGATAATTATGCTTAGGAGGTCACCCCCTCCCTTGAAGGAGTATGCACCACCTTCTGCCACCAAATCAATATGTAATTCCCTCACTCCGCCCCATAAATTATATAAATCCTCAGGACCAAGAATCAGACTGCCTGTACCTTTGTCACTCACCTCAGCTAGGCCCATTCTCTTCCATGACAACTTATCACTAATAAACTTTGCTTACATACTAATTGGCGTGCTGATCTGTGATTCTTTACCACATCAGCAAGGAGTGAGCTTCCCACAACGTGATGATGCTTTACAGTTTTAAATACGTCCAAAACATTCAGCAGCATTTACGATTAATAAAAATTAATCATTATTTTTAAAAGAAATACTTTAAAAATTGAGACTAACAACTGAAGCAATTCTAGATCTAACAAAATAAAAATCAATTAGCAGAAAAATATGTGGCTTTGAGATAGGATAGTAAAAAGTTAGGAAAATTCCTTGGCAATTGGAATAGAGAAACGGAAATAGCTGAACACAATCGCTGAGCAATTTTCAACCAGATACAAAGGCCACCTCCCTGGAGATAACATCTAGGCCTCATTGTGTTTCACCTCTAGGCCTTGAAAAGCAGCAAAACCAGGTGGGAGAGGCTAGAGCCAAGTGCAGTGACTGAAGACGCTCTGCCCTCTCACTGACCCATCAGAGGAGACCATGACCCTGAAAAGGCACTTCTGGAGAACTGATGAATATTCTATGTTAACCCTCCCTTGAAACTTTCCCTAAGATTCCCACCTGCAAGAAAGAGATAAAAGCCTCAAGACAAAGGACCTCAGAGGCGAGCTCTCCCTCTGGGGAGCAGCGGTGCCATTTTTCTTTCCTTCCTCTTCTTTCCTTTTCCTTCCTCTTCTTTCCTTTTCCTTCCTCTTCCTTTTCCTTCCCACCACCACTTCTTTCTTCACAGGCACGCATCTCCTAAACTTTAAGACCATGGGTAGCTGGCAGCTTGTCCCAGGCTAATCCCTGAACCCAGCCATAAGGCCCCTTTTTTTGATTTCCCCCATGAGCTAAGACATGCCAGCCTAGGCTCTTCTGTGGCTTCTATAAGCCTTTTCTTGCCACTTGGGGCAGGCCCATCTTCTCCCTTGACGATGTACTAATAAAACTCTTACTCGTCCACTTTTGTCTCACTGATCTGTAATTCCTTAGTGTGACAGTGAGAAGTACCACGCTCCAGTAACAGCTTCACCTTTATAAATTATTCTGAAAATATTTTTGTATCCATCTTTAAAATTTGAAGTTTTCTATAAGTTCTCTCATGCAATTAATGGGCTAAGAATTGTTGGTCACCAATAGCTTGAACACCAAGAACAGAACAACTGAGGCTATTCACAATTTGCAATTCTAGCCATGAACTACCCTGGTTAAATTTTCCCAAACACATCAAAAGACATTAATTTAGACTCCACCAATCTCTACATATGATAACTCAAGATGAAGTTTTCTATGAGTTAGAAAACTTAGGACAAAATAATTATAAGAACAAACTTCCATAAAATGTTTAAATAGTAAAGAAGAATATTTTCACTTACATAAACATAGCAATTTACATGTTTATTACATCTAATTCTTACAGATCTATAGAACATTTTCGTTCCCTAAGGACTTGCAATAGGCCTGAAGTTACTGAATGCCTGTGAAGGTAATATTAAAAAGATGCTTTAATGTGCGGAACATTTCCCTTGGAGTGCCCAATCAAAAAAAGGACTCAAAATCTGTACTGATAAGAAGGGAAGATGAGATCTGAGTGCTTTCTATTTGTTAGGCACTGAGCTAAGGGTATTTTAGGTGATGTAAATTTTATTTATATTTTACAACAGCTTTATCAAGTAACCATTATTACTGTCAGGGTTTTGTAGATAAGACCACTGGGATCTTGAAAGTCTGTCTGAGGTCACATCACTCAGCATGGGTGAAGAAAGGATGGAAATTTCTGTCTAAATGATTATGGAGCTACTCACTCACTGAGCTACACACTTTATAGTAAAAGCATTTAGAAGAACCTCATGTAAATGTCAAACCAGTGCTACATTCTTTTAGGTAATGATTTAAAAATGAATCAATAACATTAATAACATTTGATTTAGTGACTTCATTTATGAACAAACTTTTTTACTATGAAAAATGTCAAATAAATTAACATGCTAAAAGAATAGTTTCAAGGATCACCTGGATTCTCACCACCTAAATTTGTAGCTGTTAACTCATGCCATCTTTGCTTTATTTACCTTCAATCTATC